ATTTTTAAAATTTTTAATGGATACATAATAGTAGTACATATTTATGGGGTATGTCTTACATGCTTTTGAGCTCCAGCATTTTTAGTGCCAGCTTGTTTTTGTACCTTCATATTACTTAACATTATCGTTTTATATACTTAATGCTTATTTAGATTTCCCCACATTTAAAATTTTTGTTCCCTGTTCCTTACCTCCTATTCACCCCATCTTTCTGCTTTCAATTTCCTTCTTCCTGAAGTATATCTAGTAGTAGTTATTTTAGCGAAAGGCTACTATTGCTAAACTTTCTTAGTTTTTTCCTTCCTGAAAATGTCCTTATTTCACTTTCAAAAAAAGAGTATTAGTTCTCGTTGGTATTTCTTCTTTCTTGGAGATACCAATTCTCCTCCTATGACAACTGGTGACTCTCCTTCATGGCATATCATTTCCTTGCAGGGATTGGATTTTTATTATCGATTGTTTTTGACCATGTCTTCAGCAGATCTTTTATTTCCTGTGGGGTTTCATGTGCCCTGAATTGTAAAAATAAATTGTATTTGTTTTTGCTGAGGTTCTAGAGGTTTCAATGATTCTGTCCCAATTTTTATTTTGATTTTTCAGTATGTGGTTCCCATACCATACCATAGGGTAATATTTGACCTCACATTCACATATGATATAGGCCTCGGGTTTTTAATTTTATTTTTTATTTTTTTGAGTTGGAGTCTCACTCTGTCATGCAGACTGGAGTGCAGTGGCCACTCCCAGCCACTGCAGCCTCAACCTGCTGGGCTCCGGCGATCCTTCCAAGTAGCTGGAACTACAGGCACGTGCTACCACACCTGGCTAATTTTTTTTTTGATTTATTGTAGAGATGAGGTCTTGCCAAGTTGCCCGGGCGTGTCTCGCATCCGCAGGGTCAGGCAACTCACTCACCTCGGGCTCCCAAAACATGGGATTACAGCCTGAGCCACCAAGCCTGGCAGGGTTTTTATTTCTACTTCAGAGTCAGCATGAATCCCTTCACTGCTTATTCTCCAAACCCTTTTTTTTTTTTTTTTTTTTTTTTGAGTTGGAGTCTCACTCTGTCGGCCAGACTGGAGTGCAGTGGCCGCTCCCGGCCACCGCAGCCTTGACCCACCGGGCTCCGGCGATCCTTCCGCCTCAGCCTTCCGAGTAGCCGGAATTACAGGCCCGCGCTTACCACGCCCAGCTAATTTTTGATTTATTGTAGAGATGAGGTCTCGCCAAGTTGCCCAG